GCCGAGAATAGATTAACCAAATCCAGTTTCCAGAAAATCTCTCCTGCACATTATCTGAGTTTTTCCCCTGTGGAAGCCTCCGCCGAACCCTGGGGTCTCTCCTCCCACCCCACGTCCCCGCGCCGTGCAGCCGAGCGTAACAAGACGGGATTTAGACACACATGACTACACAAAGCCGCGTTGAAATGAGTTTACACGCTCCGAGCTCCGATCACAGGCCTTTAATTTCCATCCGGCTCCAGTACAATAACGCCCCCTGTTTCTCTCTCCATGCCACGATGGAGCTGGAAGACGAAGAACAAACTAACCGTGTGCACAAGTCTGTCGACCTAAACCACCTGTCTTGGGGTTTGACATCATAGACAACCCCTTTAAAACAGCTGCCTTCAACCCCAGAGATAATAACCCTTCAATTAAATCACTCATCAAAACGCAGGGTGGAACAGGTATGAATGGTGTTTTTGATGCACTCTGGGTAAATGGAATTATAGGCCACAGGAGTGAGACAAAACTTAGTGAGCTGCTTACCTAGACAGCACTTCTAAGGCATTTTAAGTAAGTATGTACCATCAAAACAAAAGATATAGCCAGATCATCATATGCATGCTTTGTGGAGAAGGCAAGCCCATAATGCAGTGCACAGAGAAAACAAAATCATCCAAAATAATATCGGAGCAAGAGAAATGTTTATAAATACTTATTTCATTCAGTACTGCAGAGTATTGATATAAAAGCTCAATAATAATTTAATTTCATATTTTTTCATTAAAATAAAAATAATTTATTAAATAAAAATATAAATGATAAACTCTTGTAATTATTTGTAGTCATGTCTCTAGTGTGGAAAACTAGAGACTAATAAGTTAATTTCATATTTGTATTATAATAAAAAATAATACATTTATAAATAAATATATAAAAATATTACATAAAATTATACATAATAAAATTGTAAAAAAAATACATTATTATATTTCTATTTATAGTAAAAACAATACATTTATATAAACACATATATAAAATTATTAAATTAAATTATACAAAAATAAAATAATAAACAGAGAACACATCTCTAGCGTAGTTACAAAAAATGGATTAATAAATTCATTTCAAATTGCTATTTATAATAAAACATTTACAAAAATATATTAAAGTATTAAATTAAATTCTAAATAATAATGGAATTAACTGTAATAATTTTCATATATTAATACATTTTATATTTCTATTTATAATAAAATTAATACATTTATAGAAAACTATATGAACAATTAATAAATAAAATGATAACTAAACATGTAGTCAATTGCAGTCAAGTCTCTATTTGTGCAACAAGCTTTTGAAATCAGTCACTTACAGTATGAGGCTTCATTTACATTAAGATGCTGCCTGTGTAGACCGAAAAGCAGCTATCTGGGTTATGGAACAGAGCTAGACCAGAGCATCTTGACATGAAAGTTGAGAGGCGAACAGATAAAAGGGATTCCCCGTGTTTAAACACTACTATCACTCAGCTGCTAGTGTGAACACATCACTCCATCCTGTTGACAGGGAAGTATTGTATTATACAGGTATGGCCTGTAAGTCATAAAACTCTGAAGGATCTGTTTGGAAACCAATGCATAAGTGCAGGATGAGATACTATCTCATGCTTAAGATGGTTTTGAATCCTTCTAACCCCCCAAAACCAATCCAGGTGAGTTAATTAACAACGCTGAGTATAGGAAACGCAACCCAGCGGCAATGCATCAAAGCACAATGAAAGTGATCTGTCTTTATGAAAATCACGTTCTAGCCTCATTTTTAATTATCAAAGTCAGTGTGTCCCCCGAGTAAAGAAGGAAACTATTTCAATCAATTATTTTCAAGGGAAGAAAAAGCTTGGGTCTGTATTAAACCTGTTTAGTTCTTCACTCGTGCAGAACTAAATAACAATTAAACCTTTGTAGGCTTGATTGCTGGTTCCCGTATGGATATTATGAAAACTGAACTGCACTACGATCAAAACAACGTATTACTTCCTCAAAACTGATATTGTTTTTCTATATTTATTCAGAATTTAGCCAATTAAGGGCTAATATTCGCCCCTGGAACTGGTATTTAGGGCCATTTTTACCTTCAGAAGGGCATAATGAATAACAACACACTAATAATTTTTGTAAAGCACTTCGACTGAATCAATTAACTGACATAAATCTTACATTTGAACACTTATGGCTTAAATATACAATCAAATCAACATGAAATGTAGCTTATATCATTACATACAACATTCCATGGCAGGTTTCCATTGTGATGCCATTGGGGCATGTGACTAGTGTGAAAAAAAAGTGTGACTAGCCAAGGTTATCTCTATATGAAATGTTAAACAACAAGAATTGGCCAAAGAGATTCTATTGGGGCATGTTGTCACAAAGGGTCAATGTGTTTTTAATGAACTGTGAATTTAAACTCCTGATCTGTAATGGTGAAACTGTCTCTCAGAAACAGATTTTTGAAAATAAGCAGAGAAACTAAGTAAAAAGTGTGACAACTAGCCCCAATCTCCTCTATATGAAATGTTAGACAAGAATAATTGGCTAAAGGGACCATTTTTTGTGATGCTATTGGGGCATGTTGTTACAAAGGTTCAATATGTTTTCAGTGAAGTGTGAATCTAAACTACTGCTCAAAGAAAGTTTCTCAGTCTCTGATAAAATAAACCTAGAAACTAGGGCAAAAGTGTGACAACTAACCCCAGCAAGAAGCAAGAATTTGCTAAAGGGACCTTTTTGCCACCATATTTTGGTCACTTTTGGCCCAAATCTGACCTTGCTTGTGACTCAGACCAGTTTTTTTTACTCTCTATATGTGTTCTCTACTGACTCTCATATGATGCAATGCACTTCACAGCTGCGTCCACCAGCGCTGACCTCCTGTCCTGCCTGGCCGCGGATGGATGATTCATTTCCATCTGTATACCAGCAGATGAGAGATTTCTTCTGTCTTTCTGCCTTTCCTTTTCTCAGGCCATTCAGAGTGAATGAATTCAGCCCATCTAAAGTCCTTCACACCAGGACATGCTCAGAGGGGATTCTCCTTGACTCTGACCGACTCACACATTTGCAATTCATCATCTTCCTCTCACAGCTACACAATAGCAGCAGCAAAGGAGCTTTGTCATTCTAACGACACACGCATGGACTGTTTATAGCGTCTGACACCCGCAGAAAGCCTGTGTTTGCGTGTTGATGTTCTGTCATTAACTACCAGTTCAATTAACATTTACAAGACCACGGGTGGAAGACAATAACAATGCTTTAAATGAGCTTTGTTTTTTAAGGATGTATCTTTTTGATATGCAACAGGCAATTGGAAAAGCAGCATTATTAAGACATGCAACTTTGTTTGCGACAAAACTTAGCAATTTAGCAAACCACAGTCCAAATGTCACACATGCAAACTCATATCCCCAGCCAAACAAATCCTATAGGAAAATGTTTGCCTTCAATTGGATCCTATTGGGAATTCCAACATAGACTTCCAGCAAACAACAAGTAGATCTTAAGAACAGATAGTTCACAAAAGGACTATTTGGTTCCCAGTGGGATCAAATGTCCATGTAGAACATCACAAGGACTTTAAAGCAAATCTTTCAGGGTTTTAAAACTCCTGTAGCTTTCTTTAAACTCTAGTTAAGACATTATTCCAACAAAATACAGGTAAAGTTCTGATAATGACTACTCAAAATCCAAAAGAACTCAACAGGGCTCAACAGAGGGCTTTTCCAGTTATTCCAAATAATTGGATAAGGAATTTAAAAATCTTTTACAGAGATATTTTGCATTTAAAGAGGGCCATTTCTAGGCAATAGTAACTTAAAATTACAATTTATATATATATATAAACATTCCTGATATTTCCAGGTTGTGAATATGGTTGTGACCCTGTCTCAAATAATAATAATAATAATAAAAGAATTAATAAAATCAAAGGCAATCATTTTCGCTTTATCTAATAGAATCTTATGCGATTCTTAAGTGATTCCATTAGGATTTTTTAGGATTGATCGCAAATAATGACTGAAATTCACAAGGACTTTAAAGCAAATCTTTCAGGGTTTTAAAACTCCTGTAGCTTTCTTTAAACTCTAGTTAAGACATTATTCCAACAAAATACAGGTAAAGTTCTGATAATGACTACTCAAAATCCAAAAGAACTCAACAGGGCTCAACAGAGGGCTTTTCCAGTTATTCCAAATTATTGGATAAGGAATTTAAAAATCTTTTACAGAGATATTTTGCATTTAAAGAGGGCCATTTCTAGGCAATAGTAACTTAAAATTACAATTTATATATATATATATATAAACATTCCTGATATTTCCAGGTTGTGAAAATGGTTGTGACCCTGTCTCAAATAATAATAATAATAATAAAAGAATTAATAAAATCAAAGGCAATCATTTTCGCTTTATCTAATAGAATCTTATGCGATTCTTAAGTGATTCCATTAGGATTTTTTAGGATTGATCGCAAATAATGACTGAAATTCCAACAGGAATATTTTGACTAAGGCTATATCAGCTATGTGAAACCTTAATAAGAACAATTCTAAAGTAGAGAAGTCTAAACTTATGAAACCATTGAGATACAAACACTAGAAAGTGACCAACATACTTTGCACATCCACAAATAGTCTGCAAGATCTGCGTTCAGTATAAAATACCCAACAATAAACATGTAATGGTTATTAATGTTTTGCCGATGCAAACCCTTGTTTACCATGTCAATAAGCTTCTTTGAATGTTCAAATAGAGCAAGTCAAAGAGAGACAGACAAAGTCAGACGTACAGACTGTGCTGTTCAGATGTGGGAAATCCTTTTTATCTGCTTTCTCTGCCTCTCGACAGATATCCAGAGTCTTTGAAGCCGTGAAACTGCAGCGTGTCTTCTCCCGAAAAGCATCAACACAAACCCAAAGCCTGCCGCCACACCTCAATAACCGCACAAATGTCTTACCTTCCCAGGGGGCGATCCTGTGACCCAATGACACGCGTCCTTTCTAAAATCTCATGTTTCCTGCATCGCCGTCCACATTCTGTCTCCAACTCCACAATATACTGACTACCACGTGAGTGGACGGGAACTGAAACAGCTTGGGATGGGGGGCTGTGTCCATTCAGCGATCTCCCCCCTCTTCTCCTCCCCTCTCCCACACTCTTTTTACCTCCTTCCCCTTCCCCCTTTCCTTCTGTCTTGGATTGACTGTGAGATTGGGAGCAGGAATGCGTGTGGTTCTGCTCCTTTTGGTCTGTCTGAACGGCTCTGGTATGACCCTGCGGAGAGCACCAAATTTACAAGTATTCAAACCCGCCTCTCACAAACACAGACTGCGCCCACTTATCGCACCTTTGCCACAGAGCTCCGCCCACCTCAGGGTAAAATTCTCTTGCTGAAATAAAGTCTGCAAACTAAAGAGTGCATACCACAAAAAAAAAACATGTCTAGGGCTCATTTAACCACAAAATCAAACTAAAAAAATATCAATTATATTTTTATAAGCTTTAGGAACATGATAGGTTTTTCTTTTTCATTGCAATATTATTTTTATGACAATTAAACAAGTCTCCTTCCTATTCTTTTTATCATCATGTACTTTTCCCCCCATTATTCTCAATAGATTACTGTATTTCCGAAATACAATGATTTTTTTTTTATCAATGTTATTTAAAGGTTTAATGATGCAACAAGTTCTACCATGATGCATAAGTCATTTTAAATAATGTGTAATTTTTGCTTTCACAGAAAACTAATGAAAAATATATGAGGGAAACATGAGGGAAAATATGTGCTTAATTGTCATTAAAATAATGTCAATGCAATACATTTATAAATAGGCTCCATTTCATCATGCAAAACATAATCCTGTTTTTTTTTCTTTTGATTTTGGGGTAAAATATGACATTAATGTGTTTAAGTGTCATCAAAATAACGTCACAATGCAGTAAATCTATAAATAGGTTCCATTTCATCATGCAAAATATAATTTAGAATTTTTTCTTTTGATTTTGGAGTAAAAATATGATCCAGGCATGTTCAGGACCTAAAAGGGTTTTTCAATATTCACCCATCACGACCTCACATTACATTAAGTCTACAAAAAACATCTATCATATGCCATAATACCGGTTAGTAGAGGATAAATCTTAAATATTTGGACTGAACAGCATGCATATGTGTCTGTGGTGATAGGAGGTGTGATTGGTGGGAAGGCAGCAGCGTTGTTGTCATAGCACCAGAGCCGTAGGAGGAGAGAGACACAGACGTCAATGATGACGACCCGAGCTGAATTCATTTTCAACACACACACCTTGTGTAGGTATTCTGGGACGCCAGGCAGTGGCCAGTGTTTGGGAGCAGGAAGCTGTTCTGTCACTCTGATCATGTGATCTGCGAGCTGCTTTGCATACATAGCAGCACAGACGCCCGGGGCCAGATTGAGAGCGGTGTTGGCTGGCTGATATAACCCAGCGACGGCACGCTGCGGAGGGGGCGAGACGCTCAGACAGATGAACTGGACTGTACGCAGCTCAGAAGTGCAACCTCCTGTCTAGACGATTGTGATTAAACTGTCTAAAATAAGAACCTCAACACTGCGGTTAGTCTGGTGGCGTATAAAAGTGACTAACTTTGCCAGCCAAGGTTATGACCCTTAATCTGTACAAACTCCACAGCTGGATACATTCTTCTTAACGATTCAATCACACCCAAACTGAAGTGATTAGCATGCTGGAGCCATAAATAACACGATATCTGACACTTTACATAACTCAGAAACATAGTGATAAACAATCAGCTCCCTGGAATACTAATTCTGATTGGTCAATCGTGGCATTCAGCAGTCAAATATTTCTGATATTAATGACATCGTCCATGACAACACTTTATAATTAACTGCTCATTTCTAAAACGAATATTTCATAAAGGGCTACACTAGCGTTTGGGGCCAGTATGTTTTTTTTTAATTTTTTTTTTTAAGAAAAGTAATTACTACTTTTATTCAGCAGAGATGCATCAAAAATTATAGTAAATACGTATATAATATTATAAAATATTTATTTTAAATACGTAAATGCTGCGCTCTTAAATATTCTATTGATCTATTAAAAAAACATAAGTTTTCACAGAAATATTAAGCTGCAAAAGTGTTTTCAACATTGATAATAATCTGAAATGTTTCTTGAGCAGCAAATCAGCATATTAGAATGATTTCTGAAGATCATGTGACTCTGAAGACTGGAGTAATGATGCTGAAAATAAATAAATAAATACAAATAAATAAATGCAGCCCTGGGAAACATTAGACACTTCTTTAAAAAAGCATTTAAAAAAATCTTACCAATACCAAACTTTTGAAAGGTAGTGTATGTTCCAAGTTTTGTCTTTGCACATTCCTTACAAGTGAACTAATAAAATAAATTGCTTAATTTAACATTTTATGTTCATATATTAATTATATACAGTGGGTACGGAAAGTATTCAGACCCCCTTACATTTTTCACTCTTTGTTATATTGGTAATAAGTGGGATAATGTGCAGACAGACGATCATTATTGCAAAATAAAAGCTCAGCAACAAACCACCTTCAAAAAGGAGGCTGAATTCAGTGTTCCTGAATTTCTTCTAATATTCGGGTTTATTTTGCAAAATGACTGACTTACTGTACATTATTCCTTATGTTTTTAACTAAATATTTATTTCACTACAAAAAAGCATAAAAAACGAATTCACTAATAACAAAACACTTCTTAAGGGTCGAAATACTTCTAACTACGCAAACTAGATTTCAAACACGGTCTGAAATGTTCTTGCAATACACAATGCAATAACGCTGCTACACTCTTAAAAATAAAGGTGCTTCACGATGCCATAGAAGAACCTTTTTGTCTAAATGGTTCCATAAAGAACCTTTAACATCTGAAGAAGCTTTCTGTTTCACAAAAGCTTCTTTGTGGCGAAAGAAGGTTCTTCAGATTACAAAAAGGTAAGAAAGAGATGGTTCTTTAAAGAACCTTTGACTGAATGGTTCTTTGTGGAACCAAAAATGGTTCTTCTATGGCATCGCTTGAAGAACCTTTTGAAGCACCTTTATTTTTAAGAGTGTAAGGATGCTATAGCTATAACCGGTTGAGAGAAAGTTAGCTAAAATGCCAGTATACTTATAGCAATTACACAACTGGTTTAAAAATATCGCCCCCTACAGTACAGAAACACAACAGGCATCGTGCATTAAACACGAGCAGAACAAATGTCTGTGTTAATTGTTTGTAAAACAGTAGATTTATTGCTTGATTGTGTTCAAATTCAATATAAAAATTATGTAAAAATGCATTTGTGAACAATTTACACTGAAAAATGTATAACAATATGTGATCGTTGTGTCTGAAATTGATCTAACTTCATCATTATGCCTTAAAGCAAACCAAATGGCTCCTAAAACCAGTTTCCTCGATCAGCTAACGCAGAGAATCACCCGTAAGACCAGCAAACGATCATAATAAATGACAAGCAAACATGACATCCTTCTTCAAACTGAGGCGACACGAGTCACTTTCAATAACGGTCAGGGACTTTACCTTCGCCGTCTGCCGTGTTTGCATTAGCCTTAAGAGGAATTCAATAAAGCATCCCCGACTGAGACAAAAAACATCAGTGTTCCCACAGAGAAGCTGTTTTCCAGCATCTACTGTTCCTGAATTCACAATATTTCAATGACCCAGGAGAGAGGTTTACGCCGAACGCTAAAGCTAGCAGCCTAACTGGGATTTTCATTTAAAATCATCGACGCGCCAGCTGCACGGAAATGCACTCCAAATTTGCTCACAGCTATTTGGAATCACGTTGAGAGACAATACATATTCATAACACTGGAAACAATGCCCTAGCTTAGCAAAATAATGCACAGAAACATGATGTGACTTGGGAATCACATTCTTGCCTGATTGTAAAACATGACAGAGATGTGACCACAAGCGTTTGTTTGGCTTCCATGATTTATATGTTTTGTCTTATCAAGATAATCCTGTAATAATTTCATGGCGCCGTTCTGTGAAGAAACTTTTTCCACCACATTTTTATCAAGCAGCAGATGAAAACTGCTTAGAAAAGCTTGATTTGCTGTTATCATTAATGCTGTTGCATAAATGGTGCAGAAAGAGACACAATTCAATACTTAGCTTAACTCGAAGTCTGAGTATCAACAATAGCAAGAGTTAATGGCTGGTTTTAGGGGTGCAGCAGTTAACCATAGTGCGTGTGGCGCAGGTTTGAGTCTGGCTTGAGATTTTCCCAATCATTTCTTATCACTTTCTACTAAATCTATCAATTAATAAGTTGTAAAAGATGAAAAAAGTAAACATTAAAAGTGTAAATAGTCAATAGTCAACCATAATACAGCTGAGTCCATGTGGGAACTGCAGGGGATCTGTGTGATCTATTATTGATCTAAATGTGGCTATTATTTTTAATAGCTTAATATATAACGGACCATTCAAAAGTTTGTGGTCAGTTTTAAATGAATAGTTTTATTCAGCAAGGACGCACATTGATCAAAGTGACAGTAAAGATATTTATGTTTAAAACATTAACCATTAACCAAAAGTTAAAATGTAAAAATTTAAAATATTAATATATTATATTATTAATATTACTTTTTTTCTATATGTTTTGATCAAATAAATACAGCCTTGGTGAGCAGAAGAGCAATGCAAAAATCACCAAAAACACAAAAAAAATCTTTTGATTCTTAAGAGTCAGAAAGGCTTGAGAAGATGACTCGGATGTTCCAGAAACCCTGGATTGAACCTGTAAGATTCTTGTTAGGAAGCAACAGCTGCTAAATAAGAACAAGAACCTTCAATATTTGAGATTCTGGTTCAAATCTCTAATAAATACCTGGCATGTTGACTTACTAATCTGATCTTCACTCATTCCCTCTCTTGTAGAAACAACACGCTTCATGAGCATGGAGTAGAGGACGCTTCCCGGCCATACCTCACTTCAATTAGGGCTTAAGAAGAAAAAGAAATATTTATTACAGTCCTGCTAGGCTTCATCTCAAACAACAAAGACTCAGCCTCAGTATTAGGGACCAGATGAAAGGGATTGGCCGGAGCATACTGGAGATCATTAGTGAGGATCCCCAGCAGACTCCATCTCATCTCCTTCTTCTCTTTCTCTCCAATATACATCAAAGCAGTCTGCTAAGAATGCAAACCAGCCAGAACATGTCATGTAAACGCTCAGGCAAC